GCAATTATTGTATTATTGCCCTCCAACCCAACACAGGTTCTTTTCAAAGTACCATCAGCATGGGGACCTCACAAGAAAATATATACATAAATTACGTATAATGCTTGTCACACACATAAAAAATGGAGTTTTGAAATGATTGAGGTGGAAAAAGAAAGAGAAGTAGAAAAAAAGAGAAAAAAAATAAAAATTATGATAAATAATGTGATGTGATAAGAAAAAAGAGATAGAAAGAAAAATAAAACAAATGTATTGTATGAGTGTAGAATATAATTATTGATAAGTTAGTGTGTCTTGTACAAAAAATTGTGTTTATATTTATATGAATAAATAAACACGCTGATCCTAAGATATGCAAAAATAGTTGAATTTATTGGATTTTTTCATGGAGAATAAATACGTTAGGTCTAATCTCCATTGATTTTTGTTACCGTTCCAAAGGGTCCATTAAATTCTTGTTTCATGAAATCATTATTGTTTTTATCAACATGCTACAAGAATTTGTTATTGTAGTTTGAACTTGGGCCACTATAAATTGTCTAGTCCAGCCCAAAACCTTGAAAACATGTTCATGTTCATACTCATTTGAGTGCCGTTGATCCCTCACCCTTCTGAAAAATAGGCATAGTTTTCATCATCCAACTATACTTGTGTTTTGGTACCACAAACAAACATACATGTGTGTTTGTAAACTATTTATACTACATTAGTTTAGATGATAGAAGAAGAGAAATTGCATATTTCAATATGATGATTATTCATAAAATAGATTTTTCTCATTTTTTGTACAAAAAGTTGCTTGAACTGCATAGATTTTGAGTCGGACTACTTTATGTGACTTTCATTTACTTCTATCGAATTTTGTTTGACTGTTATATTCCAATGTTTCTTAATCATTGATATTTTTCATTTTGGGTTGGCATTTTGAAGCACAGGATCAAGATTAAGAGATTGTACAGTGAGAAAACAAGATTATGGAGCCATTTGAGCAAACAGGGAGATAAGAATGTCAAATGAGGATCTAAATTCGTTGGAAAACGAAATAGAAATATATGCTACTTTGTGTTGAAGGTAAAATTAAATTTAGAAACAATCAAGCAACCATAAAGACCAAAGGAGAAAATGCTAAAGAAGTTGCCAACAAACCTAGTAGGATACAGAACAGGCGAATAATAAAATAATTGTAACTTCTTGACGATTGTTACAATTATTCTAATGGGTAATTTGTCGAACAATAACTATTAATAAACAAGATAGTAAAATGAATGCTACGATAGAGAAGCTTGTAAAAAGCAACTTGAATAGTTGATCATTTGAGACTAAGATCTCACCCCTACTTTTGTGGGTTTTCTGCTAAAATATGGTAAAAATTAAAATATATTAAAATAAGGTATTAAAAAACATTTTTTCTGTTTAGGATGTTTTAGCCACATCACCGTAAGTGTAGGTCCTATAAAGATTGACACTTATTTTTTTAATAATAAAAAAAATATCGATCATGTAAAAGTTAATACTTATTTTTTAATAATAAAAAATAAGTGTTGCTAACAAAAACACTGACACTTATGTTTTTTGATTTGTGCATAATTTATAAAATTTTGACTTTAGGTAGTAAAAATAGAAAGTTACCTTGTGCAAGTGGAAGTTAGCTTCTCCAATGGTGCAGTGATCTCCCTGTTCTTAAGAGTAAATGGAAGAAAATTCAAGAGAATGTGGAGCAGAACAATGGAATGAGATTTAATGGCTTTGAAGTTCAAAATCAATGCTAACATAGTGGATGGAGTAGTGCAGTCCTCGATTGCTATGAGTCAATGCGAGGATTAAGGGAGGGTACAGCTGGGCGTTCAATTAGTTTAGGGTGATTTAGAGCGCATAAGTGACATGCGTGGCCATGAAAAGGTAGTGTAAGCTTTCTGGTTACTTCAAAAGTACAAACATAAAAGATGGTATTTAGATGCAGTTTCTCTTTCAAGTTTTGTCTTGGGTTTCTCGTGCAAGTGAATCAAGGAACAAAGCAAACTTTTCTTTTGGTGCCCAAGTCGAGAATAGGTTTTTTTTGTCTGGTGGTTTAAATGCAATTAGACTTTAGAATTTGCATGAAGTTTTATTGGATAAAAAGGAAGGTGATGAGACAATCTGGTGCCTAGACACTTTCCACTAAGTATTTGGCCCTGCACGACCTAAATTTACAGTAGGAATGGAATATTCACACTTTTTAATTAGCCATTTTGAATTTGAAACAATAAGTGCAATTAAACAAAGTATTTGCATAAGAAAGCTTTCAAAATTTTGGGCTAAGAATTTGAAAAATTGACTATTAATGGTAAAAAAAAAAATAGAGTTTTAAGTGTAAGTAAATGAAGATAAAAGAGAAATAGAAAAAGAAAAAGCGTCGAAAACAAAATTAAAAATCTAAAGATGAAAATGATAAATAGTAATATAAAATACACGTGACAAAACAACGAAATTTTTTAATAAAGTTAGAGTCTTTAATAAAAAAAATATTTAAATTTTTTTAAAAAATTAAAGGACTAAAATAAATAAATAAAAATTTAAAAATAAAAATAAATTTTATTCTAAAGACAAAGAACAAAATAAGTAATTTTATCTTTTAAATATTATTTTTCTAGAAAAATACTAATCAAAATCTTAAAAAACTGATTAAAGAATTAAAATTATAAATTGTTAAAAAATGCAATAATGTATTTATATGATTTTATTATTTTTTATTTAAAAGTCATCCATATTAAACATTAAAATAACAAAAAAATTTAAAGTAAGAATTTATTTGTTTTTTTATTTAAATTCAATTATTTTAGAAATATAATTAATTTATATTAATACAAAAAAGATTTTTTTATTTTACATATTTACTAGCTAAAGTATTTTAACTTTACGTAAAAACTTTACATTTTTTAAAAATCATAACGATTTTATGCTATATAACCTTTTAACCTACATTATTAAAGTAGTATTTTAATTTTTTTTTAAATATTAAATATAGAACATCATAATTTTATTCAATATAATTTTTTTATTAAATAAATAGCAACATAGGTTACAAAATGCAACTATATATTTTAATCTATCTCATTCAAACAACTTAATGGAATTAATGACAACTCCTTTCATGAGTGGATGTGGCTAAGCCTTACGCCCACAACATAATCGCTGTTGTGCAGTACCTTGTGCCTATTAATTAATTATGTAATTTTCAATTAGCCTCCTCATAAGTCTTGTCAATGTCTCATTTAAGTATTCACCCTACTTTATAAATCACAAAATATAACCATAACATTGTACTTACAAACATTCAATCAATCCAAACTTAAAAATTTGACATTTAATATATGCATATTATTAAACTCTCCTACATTTATACAATATTTGTCTTCAATCAAGGAGCAATCTAGATTCCTCCTCATGATTATTAAAATTAGCTCTGGCTAATTTGATAGATCATCAATTCAGTAATTAATTAAGAAAATTAAAAATTTGATAAGTTAGACAAATAATAAAAAAAAATGATCAAAATCAAGCAGGAACCATGTAGAAAAGTACATCGAGCCGGTTACTTTGTTTTAAATTTTTTATTTTAAAATAACGAAAGACTCATATATGATATTATATAATATTAAAATATATATTTTATTAGTATCAATTCAATAACAGTTCATCGATTTAATCGTCGGTTTAATTTTAAAACATTTTTCTTCATTTTCCTGAAACACCTCTTCTGTCTCTTTCTAGATCGTCAGTTCACCCTCTTACTTATTAAGTCACAGTGATTCATAACAAATAAAATAAAATAAATATGACTAGACACTATACCCAGAAATTAATAGCTCTCCAATTTCTCTATTGTATACTTATCTTTAAAATTAATATGAAATAGCAACCATTTTTTTTAAGTCTAAATTATAAATATCCTTAATGAGATACAGTTCTACTTGAAGTTGAATAAAACTGTTATAAAAAATAAAAATATCTGTATAAATATTAAACATAATTATATTTATAAAAATTTAAATTCAAAGTCATATATATTAAATTGAAACATTTTTTACTTATTGATTTAAATATTTGATAGTAGAATGGCGATAAATTGAATTGACAGTGCTGAAATCAGATAAAAATTGCTTTTTTAATTATCATATATATATATATATATATATAATATTTTTTTTTTGTGCAACTTGTCTTTTCCAAGTTTTTCTTGGAAGCCACTCCCTGACACCCGGTTTTGTGTTATTATCTCATTTCGTTGGGAGTTGGTTCCACATGTGACCTTTTCTTATGTATTTAAAATAAATAAAATATTATCTATTGTTTAAATAGTAATTATTTATTATTTCATATTCTTGAAGTTATTTTTAAATAAAAAGAAAGGAAAAGTAACATGAATTTGAGCCGACGATGTAATCGATTACATCACACTTCAGTGTTGAATGGAAGATTAGGTCTTAAACGGAAAGTGCTCTGTTGACAAAAAAGAAACGAAAATGTTCTGAAAAATAAAACAAAATAGAAAAATATGAATACATATACGGCTTACTTCAGGCATGACACATGTTAAGAGAGAGTGGGCCCTAGTCTCCATCACATTTGTACATGGAAGGTACTAGAACAGAGAAATTAACGTACTTGCAGAGCAAGGCAGAAAAACGAATATGATAGATGAGAAAATCCTAGAATATGCTAAACCATTGTAGCTTCACCATCATCTCAAGGCCCCACAAGGAAAAGAGTGGTATTTAAAGCAAAATGATCTTGTTAAATCAAGTTTTTTTTTAATTCCTCTGATAAATTAAATTTAAATTTTTTTAGCTTGTTTTAACAAGATTAATTTAGACTACGTTTGTATAAATCTAAAAATCAAATTAAATTTTATTCGGTTTAGATGACTACTCGATTTATCTGGTGAAAAGTACATTGGACTTATTAAAAGTCGTAGTTTCAAACTATTATAATCCAATGTCCACACATACAATTATTCCAAACTGCTCTATAAAAGGCCAAGGCTTAGCCGGCCTTCTGCACTGCAAATAATTCCTGCTTAACCCTTATTGATCTTTCTTTGTTTTCCTTGATCTAGCTATGGCTGATGAAGTTGTTCTTCTAGATTTTTGGCCAAGTCCTTTTGGGATGAGGGTCAGAATTGCACTAGCTGAAAAGGGTGTCAAGTATGAGTACAAAGAAGAGGACTTGAAGAACAAGAGTCCTTTGCTCCTCCAAATGAACCCTGTTCACAAGAAAATCCCTGTTCTTATCCACAACGGCAAGCCCATTTGTGAGTCTCTCATTGCTGTTCAGTACATTGAGGAGGTTTGGAAGGACAAATCTCCATTGTTGCCTTCTGACCCTTACCAGAGAGCTCAGGCTAGATTCTGGGCTGATTATGTTGACAAGAAGGTACCTTTCTATGCTTCTTCATTGTTGCATGTAATTTATTTGTCATTGCTTTTATATTGATATGCTTTTAATATAGAATAAAGTAAGTGATTGGCTATTACGAATCGCCATGTTGTTGTTTATTACTAATTTTGAGCTTTTGGATGTAATCTGGGATATGTGAGAAATAGGATTTGACCATTTTTTGGCCAAGATTCTCCACAACCTATCTAAAGTGGTTGACCTGCTTTGCCTGTTCCTGTGTTAAAAGTTTTGTTCTTTTGCTTCCTTTTTTTAAAAATCAATTCTTTTTTTATTTATTTATGAAAATCATACGTTTTAATCAAATATATAATTCATGTTAATTTATATAGTATCTGTCAGATTCAATGATTTAAAATAAATTTTATCAAAAAATCTATATTTTTAACTTGAAACCAAACAACGCGTATTTGATTATCTTTAAGGAAATGTCCGTTGTTACTTCTGATTTTGTAAAGAAATTTTGAGACGTGTGGAAAGTTGTAAATGAGTGATAGAGATACTTATATCTGATGTTAAACAGGGTGTTAAAGTGTTTAATGTTTGAAAATATAACTGTTAACATAAGGACTTTCTTTTGTTGAGCAACTGAAAAAGTATTTGATTATCTTTAACAACCCTTTTGGTATCACTGATAGGCATTAGTCAGTATTGGTTCTTAGTGTCCCTTCTCCAGCCTTTCCCTTTTCTCATTCTTACATTTTATGATCTAACTGGGTGTGCTAATTATTCTCAATGTGAAATAGGTATATGACCTTGGAAGGAAGATTTGGAGCGCGAAAGGAGAGGAAAAAGAGACTGCCAAGAAGGAGTTCATTGAAGTCCTTAAATTGTTGGAGGAACAGTTAGGTGACAAGGCTTATTTTGGAGGAGACAATCTGGGATTTGTGGATGTATCACTTATTCCATTCTACACTTGGTTTAAAGCGTATGAGACTTTTGGCACCCTCAACATAGAGAGTGAGTGCCCCAAGTTTATTGCTTGGGCCAAGAGGTGCATGCAGAAGGAGAGTGTTTCCAAGTCTCTTCCTGATCAGCATAAGGTCTATGAGTTCATTGTGGAGATAAGAAAGAAGTTAGGCATTGAGTAGGTTGAAGGCTTAAATGGGCATAGTGACGACGCACTGGTCTTTTGTTTATGGTCTTGTTCACCTTCCAATTAAATAATAGTTGTGTAATATAAAAAGCACTTGGATGTGCCGAACTTTATGCTTTCTATAGGATGTGTAGGTTTTGAAAATCTTGTATTTCTTTCACGTGTTTGTGGGTTTGTAATTGAGTTTTTTCTGCTCTATATTACGTACTTATTATATTCACTGGTCTTCACGGGATGACACTGTCATGTGAAACTTTTTTGTTTGGTCAGTTGTTCAATTCTTGGTACAATGGTAACAGAATTAGAAAGAATAAAACCACACTCGTGAGTTCATAACTTCATAGCATGTTAAATAATCACAATTAGCTTGTAGGGATTGATCACCTTTGCACTTTAGACTAATGACCAAAATTAGACTTGTTCTTGTAACAACAACATGAAATAACGAGGATTCGCACAGCCTTATTTTTTATAAATACATATGAGAAATTATTTTTTTTAAAAAGATTGAGAATGGTATAGCGGTTATTTTCAATAATATTTTTATAAAAGTTTAAAAATAATATTCTTATAAAAGCGAAAAAATAAAGAAAAAAGTGATTTACTAAACTCTTTTAATAAAATTTTAAGATATAAGAATATGTTAAATAAATAAATGAAGCATATTTTTATTTTAGAGTGATATCTAAAATTATTTGAATCATAGAGAAATTAAATCCATGAGTTACACTATATAAAGTTATAGAAAAAAGTAATTTAATATGAATTATAGGAGAAAATTAAAATTATAAAAAATTAATTTAGTTTTATGTCAAAAAAATTTGTAACTTTTTTATGAAAAATGAAAAAAAAATATTACTGAAAAAAATTATATATAATTTCTAATTATTTAAAAATTGTATAAAATTGAATATTAAAAGAAGTTTATAGAAGGCTTTAGAAAAAAAATAGATGTGGTGTATATTCAGGTTATACAATACATATACGATATGTTAACTATATAGAGAACTTTGAGATACATTCAAGAACATTTCAATTGGAATAAATTTATATTAAGACTCTAATTTAAACATTTATTTATTTAATTTAATCTTAGATATACTTACAAATAACATATAAAAGATTATTCTTCAATATATGCGCTTTGTTAAACTTGAATTATAGAAAGAGACTTTAGAGTTTATGAATTTTGACTTGAGTAAAAGTAAAACAGAATATACATTATAAGTTTAGCAAATAAGATAAAAATCATGCATTGAAAAGTTAAAATTAATTATGATACTATATTACAAGTTTCTAATTTTAAGTATTTGGTATCATTATACACAGTGATAAGAAAATTAATAAAAATATTATTTACAAAATATAATTTTAGTAGTTAAAGTGAAAAAGAAAAATTATTAGTTATTTGTGATAGTAAAATATTTATCAAACTAAAACAAATTAAAAAAAAAGGTTTTATCATATATCATGATCAATTATTCTATATGAAAATAAATGTTAAACTTCAAAAGAATAACAAAAAAAAAAAATGAGAGTGACAAAAATTAAAAATGTTAAAATGAATGAGTGAACACATAAAAACTAACTTAATAAAAATAATAGTATATAAAAGAATATATTGAAATAATATTTATAATAAAAAAAATGACGAGCAGTTTAGTTATGTATAAAGATCGGATAAAAAGAGATTTAAAAGAATTTTATTTAAAGTTATTTAAAAAAAACATTTTTATTAACTAAATTTTTAAAAATTTTACTTTTGATTTAAATCATTGACCTAGTGTGATTTACTTAACAATCTTTACCCAACGAGTTACCTAATGAGATAAGGTGCAGGCATGGTACACGTGGGGAGATATACTGTTCTAATGGATGTTTTCTCATACTTCCCCGTTCTATTTCTAGATCAACGTCTTTTCGCATGCAAGCTTCTCTTTTTTGAACATTGAACAAGATACCTGGTACCGTTTACTTCAAATTTAACTAAGCATTCACCAGTAATCATCATGCCTAGATTTATTATTATTACGTGGCCATACTTGGGGTTGTTGTTGATAATAAATTCATGTTATTGTCATGCCTACATCTTAGCCTTTAGATAAAGAACTGTAGCTGATTTTTTGATATGTTGGATGGATAAGAGTAGAGACTATTGACCGTGGCTGGCTCATATGACATTTGGAAAACATGTTTCTCTTTCAAAACTCAGCACAATATAAAGTCGTTACGGTGGCAAAAACAAGACCAGCAATCTCTGAACATGATGATACAAGCACGAATTTAGAGTCCCGACACTTGCAGGTTATAGTTTGCCATTCACTTAAACAAAAATTTTCCGCTCAAGTGAATAACGTTTGGGCTTGATCACTGTGAAACATGCCTAAAGAAACTTAAAAGGCAAAATTCGCTTAAACGACACATGTTGACTTAAAGCTAAAGTCAATATGGTTAAGCCTCTTCAAGCAAAAAAAATAAAATAAAATTGAAACAAACATGGACTAGAGAGATATATTTTTAAGTTACTTATTTTGCTTCAGCTAATCATTAATTGCTTAAGCTATTGTTGATTTGCTCAAATCATGACCAGCAAATTTAAAACAGAGAGCATAAGTTTCAAGCAATGTAATTCGCTTGAACAAATATGAAATAACTTAAGCGAATTGGGTTAGGGCTTAATCCAAAGTTTTTTACAAATCCAGATAAACGTGTTTTGCTTAAGCGAGGTTTGTCTGCTTAAGTAAATTTACCAAAAAATGCATTAACCTGTTGCAGACAAAGATAACATGAAGTAATCGCTTAAGCGAAGTTTTGTAGCTGAAGCGAAATATATATGCGCTTGAGCTATGTTCAAAAGAAGTCAAGCGAGAATAGATACGCTTGAGCAAATTGTGGTTGTTTAAGCGAAAGTTAAAGAAAATGCAAACTAATCCTAATATAGACAGCATGCAAGGGGGCCAAACTACACTTGATTACATAAATTTTTCAACTTACATCGTACACACAAAAAAATTGATAAATATATATTTAACTTTGAAACAAAAGAAGTTTTGACAATTGCATAATCAAATTTGATCAAGGATTAAAGTATTGGTATCATCAAGTTGTCCCTACAAAATAAGAAGAGACATTACAAACAATGGGGAAAAAAACTATGATATTTAGTTTGATTTAAGTTGAATAGTCTTACTATTAACAAATTCGTGAAACTTAATTGATTGATTAATATTTGAGGGGATCATAACATGGAGGTGCCGAACAATATACTTCAAATGAATCAGAGAACATTGGTTGATATTCCTAAAACATTTAATGATGGTGAAATTTATGATATGGTTATAATAAGGAAGTTAAAATAAATGTATTAATTGATAATTAAAGTAATTATAAGAAAGTACCTGAGATGTTGATTGACCTAAAGTTGGAGTTTTGTTTTTTCTTTTTCCTTGTGGCTCAACCCAACCTTTTACACACCTTTTCCTCTTGATGGTTGGTCATTACTTGAATCCCTTAGGTTGTGTATCCTAATTAGTGACCTTATTTACACCATCATCCCTATTCTTGTCATTATCTTGTGTTTGTAAGTGAAGCTTTGCGATTTGGCCCACTAAAGTGTTAATACTGTCATCCATTAATTGACAATATTCTTCAGAATTAGAAACATCAGAGGCCAACCTAATCATTTTACATGCTAGCTATCAGTATCTGCGTATAGTAACAAGTTTAGGATCTCCTTCCACCTGTATGCCTTTTAAATTGTGAATAATCCCAAATCAGCCTTCTGTTTTCCATCTTTTTAGTATGTATTTGTCAGAAATAACCTTTACATCATTGGCTTCAAACACTTTCAAAGCATGACAGTAAAGTATGCCCATTGTTTCAAACTTTTTACAAAAGCAATTGATATTTGTTGAGGAACTATCTAATATAACTATCCATGACCTTTGTTGATTGACTTTAGTAATTATATATTCAATCAAAGAAGGAGTTTCAATCCTTCGTGATATACAACATGCCAAGAATTTAGCAAACTCTTATTGAAATAAATTATACACCGTATGTGTGTAAACCTTAGCCCTTTGTATAAGTATTAGTGACACCTCATATTGCAACATGACTAGCTTATGGCGGGAGTCATACTCACACTTAAGCTAGTTGTAACACTTGACTTTAACAACTCGTTCAAGGTGACCAAAGAATTGTTTGATGTCAACATCAGGTTTCTTACAAGCCTTGAAATCAGAATTTAAGTTTTCACTCAAATAGGTACTTTGTATTCCTAGGGTTAAATAATCTTTCAGATAACATGATGTCCATTTCACCTTTATGAAATACAATGAAGTAATCCAAGTATTTTGTTCGACATTGTATTTTGTAATGAACCATGTCCAAGCTTCCTCATAGTCAATTGAAGTATCAAAGTCATACATGCATCTTTTCAAATCTCTTAAAAAATGATTTTCTCCTTTGATCAAATTACCAAGGTGTTTTAGTCCATTTTATATTAAGTGTCATGTGCATAATGCATTATGTGTCTCCGGTATTACATGCAAGTGCTTTGGCCATAGCTTGATCTTGGTCTGTAAAGATTGTTTGAGATTTTTTGTTGTTGTGTGCTTCCAAAAAAGTCTCAAGCAACCATTGAAATGATTCAGCTGTTTTATCATACAACAAGGCTGCCCCAAAGATAACAACACCTTTATAGTGGTAAAATTAAAAAAAAATGCTAGAGGTCGATAACATGATTTGTGCAATATGTAGTGTCTAGTTATACAATTTTACCAAAAAACTCATAATCAATTACTATCTTTGCAGTTGTCCAAAAAACATTTGTGATTTGCTCCTTTGCATCTATCTGATATGCATGAAAAAAGGCTAGGTTGTCTACTAATTGTTGTTGAAAGTATTACCAAGGTGTTTTAGTCCATTTTATATTAAGTGCCATGTGCATAATGCATTATGTGTCTCCGGTATTACATGGACAAGTGCTTTGGCCATAGCTTGATCTTGGTCTGTAAAGATTGTTTGAGATTTTTTGTTGTTGTGTGCTTCCAAAAAAGTCTCAAGCAACCATTGAAATGATTCAGCTGTTTTATCATACAACAAGACTGCCCCAAAGATAACAACACCTTTATAGTGGTAAA